GAGATCGTCAAGTTCTGAGAGGATGGCATAGGATTGACGCATTAGAGCCAGAACATCTTTTCAAATACCTTCAGCTTTCGGATTCTTTCGATCAATCGATATTCTTCCGGTTCCATCAACAAACATTCCGAGTGCATCATGCGCAGTACTGACGGAATCCCGAAGAGTGTTCAGACTTGTTTGCAGAAGATGTGGGGCCCGCCAGTGTTGTGGCGCTGTTACCTGGAAAATGCAGCGCTTTCAGAAAGCAGAATTTATACTTATCACTTTGAGCCCATGCAACCCATATGTGTCTGTAGTCCATCAACGGCGCGTGAGCCCTTACAGCCCTTTTGGAATTAATTTTAAGTTCATCTTTTGTTTTCCTTTCCATTCAATTTGATGAGGTCTCTCCTTCAGGTTTCCCTGTAGGTTTTCCTTCCAGTTTGCTTGATAAAATTTCCTCAAAATTTCACTGAAATCCCATGCGGCCCCAAAACGTGAAACATGCGCGCTCTCCAATGTTTGAATTTTACAGAATTTTACAGATCAAATTACAGTTACAAAGGAGGAGTCTTCAGAAAAGGAATCTTCGCCAGAGTGATGGAAAGCTCACCTTGCTGATTTGCGCACAAGCGTTGTCTATAGCTTTGAGACTCTCCGACATCTGAGTACAGACGATTCGCTTCCTCGACTGGATCGCTTCTTCGTTGACGTCTCTGAAACAAGATGTATCCTTCATAACCAGAAGGGTCGTTCCTAGGGATATGAACTATCTTCATTTTCATGTGGGCTTTTTCCATTCCTGTCGTGGCTCTAATACGTCAATCCTATCCCATCCTCTCAGAACTTGACGATCTCCTAAGACCACTAGTGGAGACTCGGAATCATCTGACGCATCTACGAAAGAACCTCGACGCGGCTGGTTGGACGGTATCGGTGCTGTCGCGCGACAGCGAAAGTTCGCGAAGTATGGACTCACTTGAGCAATTCATCGCTGCCGTTCAGAAGGTATGAATCTTTTAGCATCACCGAGCGCCATCAAACTCAATGCATACCTGATATCTCTAGGTGCCGTCGGATTGTCGACGCCTTTTGCAATGGACGCAACTTCTCATTCCATCTTCGTCGATTGTATTTCTTAGCCCCATCGCTGACACAAAGCCGGAGGTTGCTGTGCCCATCACTGTTACCCAGCCAAAGGCCAACGATCGTCCTGCGCATTTACTCGGGTATGAGGTTTTTCAGATGCTATTCGCCAGACGAATTAGTCAACATTTGTTAAGGTCGCCTCCGTTTTTGGACGAAACGAAACGCTTGTCGTCGTCGTCCACGTCTACTGTGACGTCGTCTGACTCATCACAGCCGTCGTCTATTCTCGTGACCAAGCACAGTGGGGACAAGCCAAAGGGACGAGTCACCTTTGCCGACGAGGTTGGTTGCGTTAAAAACTCATTTGTGCTTCTAGCTGAGACTTACAACATTTGTTTGTAGCCACGCGATCGCCCATCAGTAGCGCTTTCCCATGACAATGGCGAGTGCTCGAAGGCTCCCCACATGAATGGCTCGCTGCGATTCGCGATGCCTTCATCGGGACCCCATCGTCTACAGGAGACCCGAATAATCGAGGAAGACGACCTTGAGTCAAACGTCAGCGAGGGAGAAAGTCTCTTCCAGGTACTTTCAGGCGTTTTCATCAATAGACGCTAACTTCGCTAACTCTACATCTCAATCCTTGTTCAATTAAGGACTACGCCTACTTGGATGACGTGGTTCCTGGACGATCTAATTCCTTCAACAATGTTGCGAATAACTCAATTAGTGATGAGGTACGTCGGTTTATCTTACCACGCTTCAGGTTAACGTGTAGAACGGCTTTTCCCAATCTTCTCACCTATCTCGTGCAGTTCGCACTTCTGAGGCAGGGTGTAGCAAGCACCGGTTGGGGCACGGATCCCAAAACTCTCCGAGAGGCGGCCCTCATGGCAAGAGTAGAAGGACGCGCCCAGAGATGCGGAGTTTTGGGAGCCCATCCCCGACCGGGTTTTGCTGCACCCGGCCCCTGCAGACGTCCCTACCCTTTGCTTTCGCTCTATACAAATCTTTGATGCACTCCTCCCTTTGGAAATATGTTTCCCAATCCATACTCTAAACTAGCCCAGACACTCTTCTCACACAGTACAGAGCCATGGTCGAGGATTTCCTTGAACATGGCTCTGTACTATTATTCACCCTGATCGCGAGTACGCGCGACAAAATTTGCACTTGGCAGCCTGAGTCGCTTATTCGTTTCTTTCGTCTACTGAAAGAGTCAGTATTATTCGATGTAAGAAGTCGGCGAATATCCCCGAAGGGTAATTCATTGTTCAATTCACCAGAAGAGCCTAGGGCTTTTTCGAGGAGCCAGCCGGCATTCGATATCCCTGAGCAGGCGCCGAAGCCTCAGACCCTAATTGATATCCCATGTTGCAGTGACCGGAACGTGCACTGCCTAGCTCCTGTAGGACATGATACAGTGTCCAAATTTTTGAATTCGCCTGTTCCTTTAGGGCATCAGACATTAGGGGCCAGGTGAAGCAAGCCCCGGCGAGGGGAGTGGGTCCCAAAACTCTGCATCTATGGACTCATCCCCCTATTCTTAATCACGAGGTCTACGTTATCGACAGGAGTAGAGACGCAGTTTCGGGGACCCATCCCCTCGCCGGAGCTTGCTGCACCCGGCCCCACATGATAGCTGGCTTCTTTGAGAGCTCACTTATGAACTCGTGGCTTGCGCTATTGTTATGCCCGTGCTGAAAAGCTACTACAGAAGCGCTAGGCTCGGGTCGCAGGCGCATTGACATCATTCTGCTCTGCACAAGCACCATCCCCTTTACTCAAGTTTTACTTCATGACTATCCTTCCGTCCTTCCAGCAGTTAGCTTTCTTCGATATTCCCATCTCTGTTTTTTGCCTTTTTAATTTTTGAATTAATTCCAACGCTGCCATTTTACGAGCATGTCTTCAGGATCGCCAGTTAGTTCGCTTCTATGCTCCACAGCTAGATCAACACACCGAGTCGCTCTCCCTGGCTATTGAAGATTTCTTGGGTACGGTCGAGAACAACTTACCGCCCCGAGAATTTGTACAGAAAGGGAAGCTTGTGAGTAATCATTGTGGTTACTATATCCGTTGGAAACTTTTTGCAGACATGCCGTTTTCATTTTCAGATTATTCTGGCAGCACATAAATTAATCTACATTGGGGATACGGTATCACAGTGTGTGGGAGACCGGGCAGCTAGTAACAGCCTTCGACAATGCGCCGATCGGTTATGTGAATTGCTTAAGGAATGCGTCAGAGCGACAAAACTCGCTTCTGAAGAGGTACTTACCAGCTCCCTGGTTCAGTAGCACTCCAGGCGGTCTTTGCTCCAAAAAGTCTCTTTTCAGTACCCCGAGCTGAAGAGTATGCAAGGAATGATTGACAGTATCATCGCGGTGTCGAAAACTGCACAAGAAATGAAAGTGCTTGTGAAGCAATGGTGCTAATCAACGCGGCCAGCAAATCGATACCGATCGATAAATCGATTTATTCGGATATCGTGCGTGTATATGGCGAGTGTAAATGCGTGCAGATGTTGTCAGCGATGTGGGTGATAATTTTTAGCGTCTAGTTTGATATGTCCACGTGCTACGGGCTTCTCAGCCGGATTGAGAAGTTCGCACGTGGTCTGACGACTCTAGTCCGTTCGCTACGCTTTATGATACTCAACTGACGACACGTTTGCTAATATTCTTTAGATGGAATCCACATATCTAATATTCTTTAGATGGAATCCACATATCTTCTCCTTATTTAATTTCCAGCGCTATCTTACTGTAGTTATGAATTGACCATCCAGCAGTTTCGCTCCATCTTCCATACCGATCGAAATGTGCCACCCGCCCGGTGTCCTCCCCTTACTCGTTTCTCCTCGTCCGTTGTTGCCTTTGAAACTTGCTCACCCCCCAAACGTGTGCGTGTGTCTGTTGTAGATGATGTAAATAAAATGTAACTATTTTGTTTAGATAGATTTTGTGTTTGTTTTTGAACTGAGGAGTAATAAACATAGAAGAAATAATAGTATTTTGTTCCATTGAGGCATAACTATTGCAAGTTGTTTTGAATTGGTCATAAACCGGTTCCAATGGCAAAAGGATGAAGTCTATATTTGGCGACAGTTAATCCCTCTCTGGAGTGCGCCACGCAATCTACTCTCATCTGGAATTGTAGCGCAATTGCAATGTAATTTGGCCTATAAATTACTAGGGAACACAGCTGTTATATTACAAGCCAGTATCACAAGAATGCTGGGTCGTGAACACATCGTCCGCCAAATGGGGCTCCATCCACCCGGCACCGTTTCATTACCCCTGTATCGTACTTGTAGTACACTTGCCCAAAATTCAAGCTAGCGTTTTGATACTTCAAGACACAGAAGAGATGTGACTCTGGTAACGGAGCGCACACGGGAGGGCCGGAAGGCTTCGTTGGCTTTGCCGAGATTCGGGTCGGGAATCTGGGTCCAATCAGAAGTCTGCCTGTCTCCCCCAAGGTAACTTCTCCCTTCTTCGACCTTATCGTGGAATCCTCCTTTAAGATCATCAATGAACCTCAAATGACTCGCAGAGAAGAAGGTAGAAGAAAAACTGGTGAGGATAATGACTAATCAACGCCAATTTTGCTCAGACATTGTGAAGCTCTTCAAAGTTATAATAAGGTGTAAACTACATATAAATGAGCCTATTTTGTGCTACTTCAAATTCTGCCGTCATGGACATTAGGGCCGACAACGTGTCATGTCTGTGTAATAGGCTCTTCTTCTTTCCAAACATATTCAAATTAAATTATTTATTAAACGGAATCACACTTCCACCTTCTCTACTCCACGTACGCAGCTGACACTGAATTGGGCGTTCAGAACTCGCTGCTGAAATTGACAAGATAATCCAAGCCCAACTCTGAACATATGCATATTTTAAGAAACTAATGTAAATGGGTAGGCTTACATGAGGTGTTGTTCGGAATCCTCCATGACCACGATTGAGACGTTCGGCTGCTGGACGAGGATTAGGCACCTGCAGCAATGCCTTGCTGAGAAAACTCGGCAGACACACCTTTTAACACAACTGATCTGTCTATTTTTATACCCTCTATGATCGAACTTGTTTTTGAAAGTTATCCCTCCCTCCAAATATCCGTCCATTTGTCCAAATCGCCTTATTGTACAATTTTTACTCCAGGCAGAGGCTGTTGTGAGTGCTGTTATTGGCGCTCATATCGTTGGGGAGGGGGGAGGGGAGGGAGACATTCAAGTGGATGTGCCATTTACAGCATTTTGAACCGATTCTCAGGAAGGGAAAGGGATTCTGGGGGAGGATATAATGAGCAGTTTGGGGTTTTGAAACATTTTTCAGGAAAGAAAAGATGGATGAGGCATGTGGCAAGTTTTGGGTTTTCTCTGGTGTTCTTCCCTCTCCTGGGCTTGACCCTATAGTCACCTACCATCAGCTCTGTTTGCCCCTCCACCCCTCCCCCCTCCTGAGGACTGCACCCTCTTATTGAATTTTTGGCCGAGAAACGAAACTGACTTCACCATCACCATACTCAGCAATGTATTCTTTCTGATGGTAGATCGTCAGGAGTAGCAGGCTACGGCAGCGTTCTGCAGCTTGTTCATATGGCATTCGTGTGCTGTCAGGAACCAGTCGATCAGGACGTCCATCTCCTCATTGTGCTAAAAACAACAAAAGTCATCTGGAGCTTGACGTTCTCATCGAAGTTTACAATTTGAAGAATCCTAACAAAAGGTTTTCACTGAACAGTAGCTATTGTTTCGATTTAATCCCGGAAAATGCTTCGAAGCAACACCCCAGCAGAAGTCATGTCAAAAAATCTATTCAGTGGTGGGGTTAGAGACAAGATTATAATGTTCCCTTTGGGCGCTCACGTACAGTAACCCTTACACGCGAAAAATTAGCCGTCATGTTTGATGTTATTGGTGCGCGCACACACCAGGCACCCTACCACACGCGCAAATTTGGCTGTTATGGTTCGATCTCCGTTCGAGAGTGTTCTTTTTTCGGTGCTAACTTAGTTGGGGGGGGGGGGCACGCGGCGGCGCGGCAGTCTGCTCGCCTGGCATGTTCGGAAATCCGTGGGCCAGGGGGAGTGTAGGCAGTCTAGGGGGGTGGGGGTGGGGCAGTCACTTGACATGCGTGAAAAGCTGGAATGTTCGAGTTTACACTGTCTCGCTCGAGAGAGCCCAGGTGAGCAGACTGCCGCGCCGCCGCGTGGCCCCCCCAACTAAGTTAGCACCCTTTTTTCTTCCTATCTCCTTCTCCTAACTTGCAATAATTATAATTAATCAAAATCTATCGAAAAAACAAAAGAAGAGACTGGTTAAAGGAGGCAGTGCCCACACAACTAAGGCGCCGAACCTGAAATAGAGAGAATTTCATTTTCTTTCTCGAAAAATTGCAATTTCCGCCTAATCTGTCGCCCGTCTTCAAAAAAAAGACCAGTAAAAAGTTAAAAATACAGCATTCAGGGTTAATAAGTCATATGCTGGGATGCGCCATGCATACCACCCTCATTTAGGCTCGTGCTGACATTTGGAGGAGATTCGACCTATACAATGAGGTTCATGAACCATGTCAAAAGAAGGCATTGGTATCAGGGCCACCTGTCCGTTCGCACTATTAGAATGAGGGAGTCGCAAGTGTGATTGCAAGGTTATCATTGTGGGGACGGAGCTTGACGGAGGCACTTAGAGGGGTCGCGTTTTGAAAGGTTTTTCAATGAATTTGGTGAAAATTTCAGTGAGAATTGAGCAAAATGGGTGGATTCGCTGCCAGTAGTACTCCCCCCCCCCCTCCGCGCTCGACGGTCGTTTCGAAGGAGAAGTGGGCAAGTGGTCTCGTTACCAAATCCTACAAATAGCCATGATGATGAGGGCTGAGAATGGTGGTCATGGTGGGAAGGAGTCGTATAAAGAGAG